ATCCACCTGCCTCTGCCTCCTGAGTGCTGGGATTAAAGGCGTGTGCCAACAGGCCTGGCTTTTATTTTTATTTTTATTTTATGTGTGTGTATTGCCTGCTTGTAGGTAAGTGTACCTGTGTCGTGCAATGCCCGCAGAGGACAAAAGAGGCTGTTGGATCCCCTGGAACTGGAGTTATGGACAGTTAGCTGCCATGTGGGTGCTGGGATTTGAACCCTGGTCTTCTGCAAGAACAGTCAGTGTTCTTAATCGCTGAGCCATCTCTCCAGCCTTCTTTTTTCTTTTTCTTTATCTTTTTCTTTTTCTTTTTTTTTTTTTCTGACAGGCTCTCCCTAGCCCCAGCCCACTTAGAAGTCACTGTGTAGACCAGGCTGGCCTTGATCTCACAGAGATTGCCTGTCTCTGCCTCCTGAGGCCTGGGATTAAAGATGCATGACACCAAGCCCGGCCAGTTGTACTATTCTTATGCTCTGAATTTTATGTGAAGGGTGACAGAAATGTAACTCTAGAATTATCAAAGGATGTAGTTTTCTCTCTTATCAAAAGAGAGACTTAGTTTCTCTTTCTGTCTCTCTGTCTCTCTCCCTCTCTTTTTGAGACAGGGTCTTTCTGTAGCCCCAGCTGGCCAGGAACTCACTTTGTAGACCAGGCTGGCCTTAAACTCAACAGAGATCCACCTGCCTCTGCCTCCAGAGTGCTGGAACTAAAGTTGTGCGCTGCCACTCCCCAGCTGAAGAAATCTGTAGCCAGTTTTGATCAATTACTTATAAGTGGCACTGCACTGGCTTGGACCAACCATTTTTTCTAAACATTAGTCCTTGTATTGTTTTGTACTTAATCCTTAGTTTTAATGCCATAAAGCCTGCTTTTTCTCTCTGCTTTTAGCGGCTGTGTGACTATGTCTGTGATCTTCTTTTGGAAGAGTCAAATGTTCAGCCAGTATCAACACCAGTAACAGTGTGTGGGGACATACATGGACAGGTAAGTCTCACATGGGAGTTTTAGATTTTGTACTGTCTGTGATTCATTTGTTTCTTACTTGTGCTGCCAGATAAAGAAAGAAACAAAAAACAGCCAGAAAATCCCAGCAGGTGCCGAGGTGTTACTAGTCTTTTATTTTATTTTTCTTAATTTATTATTTTTATTTTATGTGTATGCATATATTGCCTGCATGTAGGTAAGTGTACCCGTGTTGTGCAATGCCTGCAGAAGTCAGAAGAGGCTGTTGGATCCCCTGGGACCCGAGTTATGGACTGTTGTTAGCTGCCATATGGGTGCTAGGATTCAAACCCTGATCTGCAAGAACAACCAGTGTTCTTAACCGCTGAGCCATCTCTCCAGCCCCATTTTTTTTTAAGTTGCTAGTCTTATGGTGTGTATGGTTCCTGGTCTACTTGTTTTAATTCCTCTTGTGAAGTGTATAGAACACTGTGTTGTTCTGTGGAGAAGCAGGGTGTTGGGTGAGGGTGGAAGATGCAAAATAAAAACCTAGACTGCTTGTAGTAATTATGATTAACAGGAGAAGGTTTGGTTTTTGGTACTTTTCCCCATTCATTCATTCATCATTCATTCAATATCATATTAAAATTTTTTCATTTCCTTAGTGATAATGAAAGGAGCAAAAGTTCAGAAAAACAAAATTGTTGCATGCTTTTATAGCAGATCATTTATAGAATGGAATGAAAAGATTTAGTTCATTTTTTACCTCCCATCTGTTGATTTTTATTTATATGAGTTTCAAAGCAATGACTGGAAAGCAGCTGTACTCTACAGTTAGTGTTTGGCTTCCCCTAAACTTTATCTGATTTTGTAAGTTTTTTTTCTGGGAAATTAAAAATGGAACACTGTTTATAGCCTACTGTGTACCTGCAATGTAGTTGGGACTGTAGGAGCTGGCATGTGTTGTGAACAATAGATAAGTACACCAGCAGAACTTACTGCCTGCAGTTTCCCTGCCTTATATGTGACTTGCATAAAGGTGCAGAAATATATCTAAATTGGCCCTGATTAGAGGCTGCTTCATAAATAAAGTCCATTTTGACTACTTACAAAGCTATTTCCTTTTTGCTTTTTCAAGCACTTTTTTGGATAGTGAGGTTATAATAAGTCTGACATCTGCATGCTACCAGCTTCTAAAAGAAGAAGCTCCATTATGTCATCTTTGATCTGCTAACATCCTCTAGAGTAGGTTTTAGGGAATGGATTTCTTTTATTTTTTCTTGATTTATTTATCTTTATTTTACGTCTATGAGTGTTTTGTCTGCATGGATATAAGTGCACCGTGTGTGTGTGTGTGTGTGTGTGTGTGTCTGTCTGTCTGTCTGTCGAGACCAGAGGATGGTGTTGAATCCCCTGGAGCTAGAGATAACAGGCATTTGCAAGCCACCCAACATGGGTGCTGGAAACCGAAGCCAGGTCCTCTGTAAAAGCAGTACTTGCTTATATCTTCTGGGCCATCTCTCCAGCCCCAAGATATGTTTGTAAAAATGATAGAGGTCATTCAATATTCCAGATGACTAGTATATTACTCAAAGCAGACACTAGTCTAACCAAATTGTTAGGTTTTAGATTCATTCAGATACCATTTCAGATTTTTAAAAAAAAATTTTAATTATTTTATTTAATTTATTTTTTTATTTTTTGGCCTTTTTTTTGGCCTTTTTGAGACAGGGTCTCCCTGTAGCCCCAGCTGTCCTGGAACTCACTATGTAGACCAGGCTGGCCTTGAACTCCCAGAGATCCGCCTACCTCTGCCTTCCAAGTGCTGGGATTAAAGGCGTGTGCTATCACACCGGCTTTATTATTTTTATTTTATGTGTATGCGAGTATTGCTTGCATGTAAGTGCACCCTTGTTGTGCAATGCCCACAGAGGTCAGAAGAGGCTGTCGATCCCCTGTGACTGGGGTTACAGACACTTGTTAGCTGCCATGTGGGTGCTGGGATTCAAGCCCGGGTCTTTTGCAAGAACAACCAGTGTTCTTAACTGCTGAGCCATCTCTCCAGCCCCATCATTTCAGATTTTATATTGTGAATTAACCTTTAATTTTCTTTTTTTAGAAAATATTTTATTATTTTTGTTTGTGTGTCTGATTATATTGCCTGGGTATATGTGTTGTGCAGTGCCAAAGAAGAGGGTGTCTGATTCCCCTGGAACTGGAGTTAAGGATGATTCATAGCCGCCATGTGGGTACTGGGAATTGAACCCAGGTCCTTTGCAAGAGCAGTCAGCATTCTTAACTGCTGAGCAATCCCTCCAGCCCCAGCCTTTAATTTTCTTAAGCTGACACTTGCTGAGTTTTGATACAATATTAAAAGAAGAATATGCATAATTATCTTCAGATGTTCTCAAAACACTGTTCTTGAACCAGGTATAGGTTTGCATACTGTAATTCCAGCCCTTGGGAAGCACAGGCAGGAGGTTGTAAGTTCAAGGCTAATCTGGGCTGCATAGTAAGGTTGAGGTCAGCCTTGGTGACATAGTGAGACCTTGTTTCAAAAACAAAACAAAAACCTTTAGTCCTTCTGGGTTAGTGTGATGCTGGTTTTGTATACTTTAACCAGTATATTCACACAGGGTACAGAGAGACATCATGGGCCTCTAGCTGTGTTCTAGGCAGGGGAACATTAGAAAATTTACCCAATTATGAAGGAGTGGCTATTATTTTTTTCTATTACATTTCTTTGTCTTTTTGATTATTTATTTATTTATTTATTTATTTATTTGTCTTTTTCTCCTCGCTATTTCTGTGTTCTTCTACATCTCCCCTCTCCCATTTTTTATTTACTTGTGTGGTGTGTGTGTATGTACATGCTTGTGAGTCTGCCTCCTGAGTGCTGGGATTAAAGGTGTGCGCCACCACGCCCGGCCTCTGTTTTAAGTTTTTTTTGTTTTTTTTTTAAATATTTATTATTTTTATTTTATGTATATGAGTGTTTTGCCTGCATGTGTGTGAGTGCACCTGTGTCCTGGAGGTCAGAAGAGGGCTTCGGATTCCCCTGGAACTGGAGTTAAGGATGGTTCATAGCCACCATGTGGGTGCTGGGAATCGAACCCGGGTCCTCTGCAAGAGCAGTCAGTGCTCTTAACCGCCAAGCCATCTCTCCAGCCCCCTGTTTTAAGTTTTTAATGTTGCACGCCAATTTGTTTTTATCTTAATATGAACTAAAATTTTTGTATACCTGAGTGCTTTTTTAAGGTTTGGGAATTATATTCTTGGCAGTTTTGCTTCACTTTATTTCTTCTTAGAAATGTAAATGTTTGGGGCTTTTCTGTCCTCTGCAAGCATTGCACAACACGGGTGCACTTATACACATGCAGGTGTAACACTCATACACATAAAATAAAAATAAAAAAACAATTTAAAAATGTAAATATTTGAAGTCCTTTAATGCTGTTTATTGACATATCTCATTCTCAGTTTGTTATTTTATTCCTTAACAGGAATTTGTAATCAGCATATATTGCTTTTCTTTTATAGTTTTATGATCTTTGTGAATTATTCAGAACTGGAGGTCAGGTTCCTGACACAAACTACATATTTATGGTATGTATACACTAGTAATACCAAGTGCTTATTTAAAATCAAGAGGATCTGACTTACTTGATGTAAAATCCATGATAATCTCATTGCCATATTACTGTTGCTATTTAAATCTGTTAAAGATTAGTCTATGCTTTTCTACATTTTACTTTTCTGGTTGCATGTAATTGCTCTATTTGTAAAACACTGTACAGATACGACTGGGTTGTGGCTGTCAATAATGGCAGAGAGACAGTCCAGGATCACTGTTTAATCTGTGGATGAATATGTGGATATGGTTTTGGGTTGCATGCTTTTCCCTAGTATGCATTTTCTGTTATGGTGGGTGTTTGCTTACTTTTTCTTTTGCAATATAATATTGCTGTTGATTTTTTTTTCTGAATCTGTGTCTGTGTTTGTATGTGTGTATGTGCATGTGCGCATATATGGAGACCATTGGACAATCTTGAATTTTGTTCCTTAGGTGCCGTCCACCTTGTTTTCTTTCTGCCCATCCAACTTTTTTGAGATAAGATCTCTCACGGGACTGAAAACTTCCCAAGTAACTAGGCTTGCTAGCCAGCAAGCCCCCAGGATCTGCCTGTCTCTGTCTCTCTAATACTGGGATTACAGCACATGTCACCATGCGTGGTTGTTTTTGTGTGGGTTCTGGGGATCAAACTTGAGTGCTTGCACTTGCAAGCCATGTACTTCATCTACTACATTGTCTCCCCATCCCATGAGTCTTTCTAGTCATTTTCTTTTGTAAGGATCTCTGTTGCTTTCCTAATTATTATTACTATTTTTAAAGCTGTTTTCCAAATATTGGTACAATGTTGGCCTGAGATTGACATTGCTGAGAAATGTAAATAGTATTTCTTATTTGTAGTTGTTAAATGTAAAGCTTAACCTAGAGCATGGCTGTACTTTTACCACAAAAAAACATTTTTAAATAGGTAGCAGCTCTTCAGATATAATTAAAATTATTATTTTTTAAAAAATATTTATTATTTTTATTTTATGTGTATGAATGTATTGCCTGCATGTATGTGAGTGTACCCGTGTCATACAATGCCACGGAGGTCAGAAGAGGGCTTTGGATTCCCCTGGAACTGGAGTTAAGGACCGTTTGTAGCTGCCATGTGGGTGTTGGGAATCGAACCTGGATACTCCGCAAGAGCAGTCAGTGCTCTTAACTGCTGAGCCTTCTCCCCAGCCCCATTAAAATTATTTTTAAAATGTGATATTATCTAATAATTTTTGATTCACATTACTTTTTTTTTTTTTTGGTCTTTTTGAGACAGGGTCTCTCCTGTAGCCCCAGCTGGCCTGGATTCGCTATGGAGACCAAACTGGCCTCAAACTCCCAAAAAACTGCTTGCCTCTGCCTCCCTAGTGCTGGGATTAAAGGCATGTGCCACCACACCCGGCATTCACATGACTTTTTACCAATAGCTTCTTTATTAATAACAGAGAATTGAAAGGTGATGATTTTGCAGGGAAAGTCCTTAAGAGAATTGCACAGCAGATTACTCGGTCTTCTAAATCAATCGTAAGTGTAATGTGAACATTTGTAGGAAATTTAAAAAATTAAATAAACTATGTAGTAGAAATAGTTTATTTCCATTTGAATTTTTGTTGAAACTATTTATATATATATATATATTTGAGATGGGGTCTCCCTGTAGCCCCAACTGTCCTGGGACTCACTAGGTAGACCAGGCTGGCCTGGAACACACAGAGATCTGCCTGCCTTTGCCTCCCAAGTGCTGGGACTAAAGGTGTGTGCCACCATGCCTGTCCTGTTTGTAGATACTTGTTTGTATGTGTGTATAGAGCGTGTGTTGGTATATGCTCCAGTGAATGTATGTGGAGGCCACAGGAGGAGGAGGTCAGGTGTCTCCCTCTGTTGCTCTCTACTTTACTGCCTTTAGACAGCGTCTTTTGCTGAACCAGAAGCTAGCCCATTCTGTGGCCAGCCAGCAAGCTCCTGGAGGGTTTCACCTGTCTCTACCTCTAGTGCTTGTTTTGTAGGTATTCAGGGGGCCATGCTGGGCTTTTTACATGGGTACTGGGGACTTGACCTTAGGTCCTCATGCTTGTATAGGAAGCTCTGTTATTCACTGAGCCATCTCCCCAGTCTCTGTTTATAGATAATTTTCTTTCTTTCTTTTTTTTATTTTTTGGTCTTTTTGAGACAGGGTCTCCCTGTACCTCCAGCTGTCCTGGAACTAACTATGTAGACCAGGCTGACCTTGAACTCACAGAGATCCGCCTGCCTCTTCCTCCCAGTGCAGGACCAAAGGTATGCGCCCCACGCCTGGCAATGTTTCTGGATAATTTAATATTCAAGTTATTATTATTTTGGCCTGTGTCTGAGTTTGTACACTTTGATATAATTTTAAAAGACTGTTATAGCTATTGTTCTGATTGTGACTATGAACTTTTACTTTACAGGGTGATTTTGTAGACAGAGGTTACTATAGTTTGGAGACCTTCACTTACCTTCTTGCACTAAAGGCTAAATGGCCCGATCGTATTACACTTTTAAGAGGAAATCATGAGAGTAGACAGATAACACAGGTGTATGGATTTTATGGTAAGACCTTCCATTTCTCTGATTAATGTTATTTTATTTTGAGGGAAAAAAAAGCCGTACAAGTCATATGTGCTGTATATTTTTGATTTTCTTCTGCTTCTTCACTCTCCATTTCCCCATGTCAGTTGAAAACCTTACCATATACTGCTAGGGTTTTGGCATATTTCTTTTCTAAATTGCTGTGAAAAAATATAGCTTTAATTTCCAGCTTTGGAATCACTTGAGTGCTTGTTAAAAATGCAGATTGTGCATCAGTCAGACAGCTCAGTTGGTAAAGGCACTTGCTGCCAAGCCTGATGATCAGAGTTCTATTCCTAGAATCTTCATGGTGGAAAGGGGGAACTAAGTTCTGGAAGTTATCTTCTGACTTTCCACACACTGGTGCTGTGGCATCCCTTCTCAACACACAAAATAAATACATTAACAATTTTTTTTCAAGAGGCTGGAGAGATGGCTCAGTTGTCCTTTGACCTCCTCCATACTTGCATTAAAGTACATGTGCATGTATACATGCACACACACACAAATAAATAACTAAAAAGTAAATAAGTAAATGTAGGGGGCTGGAGAGATGGCTCAGCAGTTAAGAACACTGGTTGTTCTTTCAGAAGACCCGGGTTCGAATTCCAGCACCCACATGGCAGCTAACAACTGTCCATAACTCCAGTCCCAGGGGATCTGACAGCCTCTTCTGAGCTCCATGGGCATTGCACAACACGGGTACACTGACCTACATGCAGCCAATTCATGCATACACATAAAATAAAAATAATAAGTAAATGTAAATTAAAAAAATGTTTCAGATTTTGGAACATTTGACACATGAAAGTTTCAGTTTGGGATACTTTATTTTTAAACAAAATGTGCCCTAGGCTGGGCGTGTTAGGTTAACACTCTACCACTAAGCTATGTCGCCAGCCCCCAAACACTGTAATCTGAAACACTGTAGACCGCAAGCATTTCTTTCTTTTTTCTCTTTCTTTGTTGTTGAAATTTTGAGACAGGATCTTGCTATATCTCTGGTAGGTTGGAACCTGCTTTGTAGCCCAGACTGGCCTTTAAATGTGGGAGTCTTATGCAAGCCTTGGTCTCCTGAATGCTGGGGTTATGAGCTTGAGCATTTTTTGATAAGGCATACTCGGCATTTTTTTTTATTTGTTTGTTTTGGAGACAGGATTTTATGTTATAGCACAGGCTGGCTGGCCTTAAAACTCAACAGTACTCCTGCCTCCATCTCCTAGGTGCTGGCTGAATATTTATTTACTTACTTATCTATTACAGATAAGTTCTCACTTGGTAGTCCTGGGTAGCCTAGAAGTCACTATCTAGTCCAGAATGACCTCAAGCTTGTGTTCCTGCTTAAGCCTCCCGAGTGCTGGGATCACAGATGTGTGTCTGCATGTCTGGCTCAGCTTTCCTTTTTACTTATTTATTTATTTATTTATTTATTTATTTATTTATTTATTTATTTATTTATTTATTTATTTATTATTTGTCTTATTTATTTATTTATTTATTTATTCCCCAGGCTGGCCTTGAACTCACAGAGATCTGCCTGCCTCTGCCTCCCAAGTGTTGGGACTACAGGTGTATGCCACCATGCCTGTTTTTTTTTTTAATTTTTTTAATGGAAAAAATTAGTGAAGTCCGAAATAAATGTAGCAATACCATAAGTTCGTGTATTGGGAGACTCAACATTATAAAGATGTCAATGCTTCCCAAGTTAATCTAAGTTTAACAAAATTCCAATGAAAATCCAAGCAATAATAACTGTCAGTGTTGACAAGATATTAGCAAAACATATAAGAAGACAAAAGAATAATAAGACAAGTTTAAGAATTTGAAGTCCAAATAATCATACTACCTGATTTTGATACTCAGTTTGGATCTGAAATGTCTACCACAGGCTCATGTGTTTGAATGCTTGGTCCCCAGATGGTGATGCTGTTTTGGGAGTCTGTGAAATATTTATTAGGAGGGGTTTAGTAGGAGAAGTGGCTTGTTGGGAGGAGGTTTTTGTCTCTGCTTTCTCTCTCTTTTTTTTTTTTTTTTGACTTTTAAAAAAATTTATTGAGAATTTCATACATGTATATAAGGTGTTTTGATCAAATCCACGCCCCCATCCCCACACCATCCCCTCCAACATCCCCCTCTCTGAAGACATAACCCTTTTTAAGTTAAAAAGGTAAAACATTAAAATGGAAACCAAAATATTTTAAAAATCAAATGTGTAATAATTGTACTCCTTTATTATCTCTTTAATGAAAAAGATTTCATGATGAATTAATAGCTACCACAATTAAAAGAAAGGATGACTTAACACACGTTTCATATGTCTGTGTCAATCATAAGGAGTATGTGTAATGAGAATATTTGTACTCTAACATTTCCCCCTCTGAAGAGGTAACCCTAAAATCTTTTAGGGATGATTAGATAAGAGCTCCCAAATAGTACTGTTGACATTTTTGGCCTTTGGAACAGAGAATGTTGCTAAGAGGCCCAAGGACTTTTTTTTTTTTTTTTTTTTGGTCTTTTTGAGACAGGGATCAAACCCGGGCTCTCTGCAAGAGCTGTCAGTGCTCTTAACCGCTTAGCCATCTCTCCAGCCCCCACATTTTGATTTTTAGCCAAGAAACTGGCTACTTTTCTTTGGGGTCTTTCTACCCTGTCTAGCCAATGTTTACCTTCTATTCTTATCACACCATCCCCTGAAGAGGTTACCCAATTTGCCAATAGGGTATTGGGACGCAGATGACTCTGGCTTCTTCCATGCTGAATAGGGACGCAGGGTGAGGCAATTGGGGTACCTCTTCAGTGGGTCTATCTAAAAGACTCCCAAATTACATAACTCTTAACTGTAGGGAGAAAAGAAAGTCCTTGACTGGTGCCTAGGAGATGTGAAGGAAAAGTAAAAGCAAGAGTAGTTAGCATTGCAAGTTCTAGACAGGGAACCAGAAAAAAGTCAAAACAGGGCAAATTTCAAATGTTCATACCAGAGTGCATTGGAATTTCTTGACGAGGTGTTCCAGAAGCTCAGCTTTTGGTTTTTTGTTGTTGTTTTTTTTGTTTTTTTGGTCTTTTTGAGACAGGGTCTCCCTATAGCCCCAGCTGTCCTGGAACTCACTGTGTAGACCAGGCTGGCCTTGAACTGACAGAGATCCGCCTGCCTCTGCCTCCCGAGTGCTGGGATTAAAGGTGTGTGCCACCAAGCCTGGCTCAGCTTTTGTTTTTAAGGACTATGAAAACGAACTCTTTACTGTGTGTGTGTGTGTGTCTGTGTGTGTGTGTGTGCGCGCACGCGTGTGTGCATGCTAGTAGAGGTCAGAGGACAACCCAAGGGAGTTGGTTCTCTCCTTCTACCATGTGGTCCTGGGTTTCAAACTCACATCATCAAGCTTGGCGGTAAACCCCTTTACCTGCTGAGCCATCTTACAGGCCCCTGGTAGCCCAATGATGCCAGGTAGCTCTGCTTGTTGGAATGTTGGCTGGGTGGCAGCATTTAATTATACGATTTTCTGAAGAGCTCACAAAAACAACTTAGGCCTGAAAAGTGTTGAGATAGGAATCACCTATGTTCCTATAATTAAGGGTCCTCTAATTTGATTTGATTATCCTCCTGGAATAAGGCAGTCCCATGAAATAAATGCACCGTTTGATAGAATTACCTGGTATTAACATAACTGATCAAAGCATTTGCTTTGGATTATATAAAGTTAATAATTTGGGGCTGGAGAGATGGCTCCGTGGTTAAGAACACTGGTTGTTCTTGCAGAAGACCCAGGTTCGAATCCCAGCACCCATATGGCAGCTAACAGCTGTCTGTAACTCCAGTTCCAGGGGATCTGACGACCTCTTCTCTCTTCCGTGGGCGTTGCATGACATGGGTGCACTTACCTACAGGCAAGCAATACATTCATACACAAATAATAAATAAAATATTTTAAAAATTTAATAATTTGGTTTTCCTGATGATAGTATTTTGGTTAATATTTCTAGCTTTAAAAAAAATTTATGTGTATGAGTGTTTTACCTACATATATGTAAGCACACTCATGTTGTACAGTTCCCATGGATGCCAGAAGAAGGCATTGCATCCCTGGAACTGGAGTTATGGTAGGTTGTTAGCCACTATGTTTGTGCTGGCAACTGATCCCAGGTCCTCTGTAAGAGCAGAGCTACCTGCTTACTGCTGAGTCATCTCTCCAGCCTCTCCAGCTTCTTCTTAGGAGCATTCTTGGACTGAAAAGGAAGACAATATATTTAGGACGTGTTTGTGTGTTTAAAAAAGTATATATATATGTATATATATTAAATTTTGTTTGTGTGTGATCCTGGGGGTTGAACCCAAGGCTTTACACATGCAAGGTAAGCTTCTGACAGTGAGCTATATCCATATCCAACCTTCCTTAGGATATATGTATTGTTAGACAGTATACTTTTTTTAGTTCTAGATGGAAGGTCTGTTAGGGATAAATATGTGTCACAATTTTCTACTCTAGATTAAGGTAGATCTCTGTTATACTAAAAGCCACTATAGAATTGGGTATGTTGCTTCATTATTAAGGACATTTCTGTTTCTTTCACAGATGAGTGCCAAACCAAATATGGAAATGCTAATGCCTGGAGATATTGTACCAAAGTTTTTGACATGCTCACAGTAGCAGCTGTAAGTTTATATGAATCTAATTAAAACCTCAAGTATTTTCCTGCCAATAACATTGTATATTTTTACTCAGTTATAGCCATTGATTCAGTTTTAGCATTGATTTAGTTTTTGAATTTAGATATGACGGAGTTTATTATTATCCATTATTATTCTTTTTTGCTAGTTAATAGATGAGCAGATTTTGTGTGTTCATGGCGGCTTATCTCCTGATATCAAAACACTGGATCAAATTCGAACCATTGAACGGAATCAGGAAATTCCTCACAAAGGAGCTTTCTGTGACCTGGTGTGGTCAGATCCTGAAGATGTAGATACTTGGGCAATCAGTCCCCGAGGAGCAGGTTGGCTCTTTGGAGCAAAAGTCACAAATGAGGTAAAGCCAACATTTTTGGAAAAGTAGTCTTTTGGTTGCTAAAATAATAATAAGAACTGATGATATTGCTGTTCAGTGGTAGAATACTTGCCTAGCATGCACAAGTCCTTGGGTTTGATGTCTAACACTATAAAGAGCAAACTACAACAAACCAAGAGTCATGAATAGCTGTGTGCACATGCATGTATATATGTAGGTAGGGATGATGTTCTGTGGAGATGTGCTCTAGCGTAGTGAACTCATAGAACTAAGTTCTGGTTCTCTTGGTTTGTCTTAGGTAAGTTACTTGTCCAGTCCCAACCTTTTTCTCTTCAGGTTGCACAAGGGGATAATCTCTTTTCACAGCATGTACTAAATTCTCAGTAAAAAAGACTGGTAGCATCTTTATTAAATCATTTAAAAAAAGAAAAGTTTTGTTTTTGATAGTAACTAGGAATTTTTTTTTCTAGAAACTTTTTTTTTTTTTTTTTCCCCCTTAGACAGCCCAGGCTTGCCTCAAATTCTTGATCCTCCTGGCATTTAAAAACTAGTTTAGGCTGGATGTGGTAACACATACCTTAATCCCAGCACTGGAAAGGCAGAGGCAGATGGATCTCTGTGAGTTCAAGGCCAGCCTGGTCTACATAGCAAGTTCCAGGCCAGCTGAGGCTATAGGGAAACCCTATCTTATAAAGACCCCCCCAAATAAAAAGGATAAAAATAGCTTAATTGCTTAATTAATTTGTGAGTACATGTTGCGGATGGGGGCACATGTGGACAGTTGTGGGAGTTGGTTCTCTCCTATCATATGAGTTCTGAGGATTGAACTCTGATTGTCAGGCCTGATGGCAGATGCCCTCCTACCAACTGAGCCCATCTCTCTGGCCTTTTTTTCCCCTCTCTTGCTGAGGTTGGTCTCAAACTCGTTGGTTTAAGTGATCCTCTTACCTTAGCTCCCAAGTAACTTAGACTACAGATGCCAGCTATTTTACCTGGATCAGAAACTTCTAATTAATAATGTAGTTGTGTAGTTTCTGTAGCTTTATAATGGACTGGGGCCCAAGTGACTCTGGAAATATTGGGGATCGTTATGGAGAGAGTTCTAAAATTATGATAACTTTATTAGTGACACTATTTGCTGGGGCTAGAGAGATGTTTCAGTGGTTAAGAACACTGGTTGTTCTTGCAGAAGGCCTGAGTTCAAATCCCAGCACCCATATGGCAGCTAACAACTGTCTGTAACTCCAGTCCCAGGGGATCCGACAGCCTCTTCTGACCTCCGTGGGTATTGTATGACATGGGTGCACTTACCTACATGCAGGCAATACATGCATATACATAAAATTAAAAAAAAATTGCTACTGTAATGATTATTTTTTTTTACATGGATTAGCTGATTTCTTAATGTGGAAATGTACAGAATACTTATAAGACCTTTCTAAATTTCAGTTTGTTCATATCAACAATCTAAAACTCATCTGCAGAGCACATCAGCTTGTGCACGAAGGCTATAAGTTTATGTTTGACGAGAAGCTGGTCACAGTGTGGTCTGCTCCTAACTACTGCTACCGCTGTGGAAATATTGCTTCCATCATGGTCTTCAAAGATGTCAACACAAGAGAACCAAAGCTATTTCGGGCAGTTCCAGATTCAGAACGTGTTATCCCTCCCAGAACGACGACGCCGTATTTCCTTTGAGGCCTTTGCCATCCTGCTGGCCCGATTTTGCCCTCTTACTACCCCAACTTTCTTGTATTACCCTCTACAATATACTTTTTATTGAGCACTTTGCTGCTGAAATGCTGCCTCTTGCCTTTTTTTTTTAATTATCTAAATTTATTGTTTGTTATGGTGTCTATAGCAATGTTTTTCTATCAATTTTGTCACCCATCCCATCCCCACCTTGGACTCGTTTGAGAAGACTTAAGAAATGTCTTAATACTCACATTGCTGCATGTAGCTCTTGCTCATTTACTGTTCCGGGGAGACAGGATGTGTTTCCTTTTTTAAAAAAGCCAATTCAAAATTACACTGAAATATTTCTCCTTTTGTATCATTCAGCCTTCTGTTTTAGTTTGGTAAGTTTTAAGAAATTTCAGCAGCAAAGTTGTTATTCAGCGGGCACGATGGACTGCAGATGCCTGAGTTATGTACACTTGTCCCAGCTGTGAACTTCATTGTCCTTTGTTGGATGATATTTTAAAAGGATATAAAATAAATTGGTCTAAAGGGCTGCCCTCCTTGTTGTGTTTTTAAATTTTAGTTAAAATCTGCTACAGCTTATGACTTTGTACATTAAGATAATTGTATTGATCTTTTTTCAGATTTCTTGTATTTTATAATAATCTTAAAACCCAGATAGGTTACGTGTTAGAAATTTTAAACAGCTTACCTTGTTAGCTGAAAGTCACTCTTTTTTTTCCTTTATTTTGTTTTAAATTTTTTTTTCCTTAGGGTGCTTGACCCTTTGGTTATTGATCTAAAACTTCAATTGAAATTCAGTAGTATTTATTTTTTAAAAAATCACTAAACTGTGCCTAAAGAACATAACTGCCATATTAATGTTTTGATTTATATCCTCTATAGTAATGGAAAAACATTTAATACTTGTAGTGCTGATACATTGATTTATACCATTTGAGTAGAATGTGATCGATGGAGTTTACACTCTGTCATGAGTAGCATTAAGTAAACGTGAACTTTCCAACAGGAAGCATTCTTCTCTTGCTGTAACACCTGACCTTAACTTTTAAAAGTGTTCAGTTTTTAACTGCAATTTTAGAGGTTGAAAAATCAGGACCCTTGTATTGAACTATAATCTGAAGCAGATTATTTAAAGTGTGGAATGAAACAGAATGTCCTCTTTTGTCAAGTTCTGTGATACCATATTTCAACTTTGTGCACGTAATTTGAGTATCCAAAGGTTGTGATGATCACTTCCTGAAATGTAATTGTCCACTTAATAAGGACAAATACTGTGCTATCTCTTGCAATTGTGATCATAGGTGATGTTGGGATGTACCATTTTGTGATGTTGTTGGTAACCCTTTACTACTATAATTTTTTGTCATCCTAGGAAATCTTTGTGAAGCCAGCCAGTTAATAAAAGCACTTTAGTATCTGTTCAGGTAGTTTTAAAAACCAACTTTCCCCTTCAGGATAAGACCTTCCAGGTTACCTAAAAATGCAATAAAAATCTTAATAGTCTAAGCTTCTTGGCAAATAATTTTTCATCAGGGTTTCTTTTACTGAATGAGCACAATACTGTTTTGATTTTGTTTCCCCTATCACCCAGCTCCTTGTACAGTTTTTAATTGTATAGCTCTATGAAAGAAATGGTTGAGACATTTGCTGCATGCACTTGAACTAATGGTGGGTCAGTAGCTTTGTACTGCCCTAAACCCAGTGGAATTCAGGTGGAAAGGTATTTTTATCTCACAGGAATGTGTAGCTATGTATTTTACTAATTGTAAAACACTGGAATTAATGATGCAGACAATTGGTTGGTGTGGTTTTTGAATAGATCTCGACAGTATTTTTTTTTTTTTTGCTGTTACCATAAATTGTATTTAAGTGCTTGCCCTCCATTACTTTAAAATTGTACCAACAAAATCAGTAACCCCAGACCCCCTTTCCATTTAACACTCCTTCGCTTAGATTGATATAGTTGTTTTCGTTCTCCCTGTTAATGTGACTTCCACTTAAATCATGGTGTATTGCATTTGTTTGTCACTAGCTGGGCATGTGCCAATAATATTCTGTCTATTCCTCAACTGCCATGTCTGTTTTGCCTGACTTTTCTTCAACCGAATAATGGCATTTTTGCATGGGAAAAATAGTTTTTACTCTTCGACATGTGAAGGGAAGAGAGAGTGAATGTATTGAACTTTGTAAGCCTGAAAAAGACTATTTGGATTCCTCTCATAAATAAGGGCTATGTATTATATAGAGTAATCGTGTGGTGGGAGATACTTGCAAGTCAGAGCTTTGTAGGCAAGGGAATCTGTCACTCCCTGTATCTAGGCTGAATGTAAAATCCCTTATGTTGTATTAATGGGGCTAAGAACTATTTTTATTTGCCTATGATATACTTGGTTTCTAATAAAGTGTCCTAGGCTCTAGTAAGAACTGTCTACTTTGAATTGCCATTTACTCCCTTTCTTTATTTGGCTGATGTGCTCTTGGCTAGCTGTTCATAGGTTAATGCTTCTCCCTGAACAATCTCACTTCTTTAAATGTGTGTGTTTGTGTGTGATCCTAAAAAGCCTTGACCAGGAGTACATCTAACCTGCAGTCTGCATCAGCTCTTATTCTACCTGGATGTCTAGAACTGTTGGAAGATTGTGACATCTTAAATGTTGAGTGTTGCTTCTGAAATAAGGTTCAAAAGGTTCACTGCATCTAAGATTTGTGTGTTTTTGCTATGTAAATTTCCAGCACCAGGTGTTGGGGAAAATGTCTGTATCGTGAGAACAAATCAGGACTCTTTCTGAGCCTGTTATCAGAATTAGAATTTTTCTCATCAGTTTCCAGAAGATTGTATATAGAGTTGAAGAGATTTAACAGCAAGAATCAAGATTTTTAAATGTCACCATTCTTTAGATGCTCATTTTGGTGAAGCTCCTTCAGTTCTTCAAATGGTGTAATTCCCTTGGTGTAAATTAATAAAAAAGACTATAGGAAGTTTGTGAAAAAATAATTTTATCTAATGCATAGTCTGAAGTATTCCTTGACAAGAATTTAGTACTTTGTTTAATTTACAATTTGTTTGTTTTTCTTTGTTTCTTTTTGGTCTTTTTTGAGACAGTTGTAGCCCAGCTGGCCTGGAAATCACTATGTAGACCAGGCTGGCCTTGAACTCACAGAGCTCCACCTGCCTCTGCCTCCCAAGTGCTGGGACTAAAGGCGTGCGCCACCACACCTGACCACACTCTTTCTTTGGTCCCTTTTTTGGGGGGGTTTCTTGAGGTGGGGTCTACCTGTAGTCCCAGCTGGCCTGGAACTTGCTATGTAGACCAGGCTGGCCTTGATCTTTCAGAGATCTGTTTGCTTCTGCCTCCCGAGTGCTGAGATTTAAAAGCATGAGCCACCATGCCCTGAAATTTTATTTACCTTTTTTTTTGTCCTTTTGAGACAGGGTCTCCTTGTAGCTCCAGCTGTCCTGGAACTCACAATGTAGACCAAGCTGGCCTTAAACTCATTGAGATCTGCTTGCCTCTGCCTCCCAAGTGCTGAGATTAAAGACATGTGTTACCCTGTCCAGCCTTTTTTTTTTTTTTTTAATAAAAATGAAACTGAACCTTTTTTTTTTTTTTACCCCCACCCTGCATTTGTCTATGGGCTAAGTGTTCCAATTCCTTAAAAGCAATATTTATTATTGGAACCTGGATCCTGTGCCCAGAACCATGCTTGATGAGGTCATAACTTTCAATTGTGTAATTTACAGTGCAGTAATGCTAATGAAACAGTAACCAAAAGGAAGCATTTGGAAAGTCCCCAGCATGGTGCCAAACTTATTAATGCATTGGGAAAGTTGGTTCCTTAGTCCCTACTTGTTAATTTTCCGTTTTCTTCTTTAGATGATGACTATGTACTTTTCCTCTCATGGGAATAAGCTTTTGCTTAGATCATTAACATGTTTCTTAATTCAAAAGTGTATGAAATTTATGTATCAACAAAAGTATTTATTACATTTTATATTCTACTCAGTCTGTGAACACCTACTATGGTACTCATCACTCTGATTTGTGTATAAATGGGAATGGGATATTAAAAAGAAATCAGTTAAAAAGTGTAATTGAGGGGCTGGAGAGATGGCTCAGTGGTTAAGAGACGGACTGTTCTTTCAGAGGACTGGGGTTTGAATCCCAGTACCCACATGGTGGCTAACAGTCCAAAACTCCAGTTCCAGGAGATCTGATGCCCTCTTCTGACCTCTGCAGGCATTGCATGGCATGGGTGCACTTACTAGAAGGCAATACACTCATACAGATAAAAATAATAAAATATTTAAAAAAATTGTAATTGAGCAGTTTAGGTAAATGCTGTATATGACCTGTGTTTGAGTGCTGAGGATGAACCCAGAGCCTTGTGTGTTCTAGGCACACTAATCTTTTTGAGACAGGGTCTCCCTGTAGCCCCAGCTGACCTGGAACTCACCAAGTAGACCAGGCTGGCCTTGAACTCACAGTGATCTGCCTGCTGAATGCCGGGACTAAAGGCATGTGCCACCACGCCCGGCCCAGAGTGACATCTTGAGCCTTCTATTTTAAGCAGTATTGATTTTTGTGGCTATGTGACCCTGAACAAATTGGATTCTTTGAATCTTAAATTTCTGTGTCTAAAATAAGAATACCATAGAGTTGATCTTAGTATTAAAAATAACACCTACAAAATACCTAGTACTTGGTCCAAATCTGCCATTTATTGAGGACCCTTACCCCCAATTGGTGATTGGAAGGAGGTTAAACAGTTGCTAACAGTGTAGCTTTTTAAGTAGAAGGAATGTGGAGGGAAATGTTTGCTGCAGGATGAATTACTGTTGTTAACTTAAAGAGAGGAAATGAGAAATGATGAACCGAAGTAATGAAATGTACATGTTCTAAAGTAAAAATACATATTCTAGAGTAAAAGCCCCAAAACAGATTATAGAACTTGGACACAACATGAAGGGTGTCCCATAGGAATGCCCAGCAGTGAACAGTATCAGTTCTGCTGACAGTGTCTACTGTTTCAGACGGGGTTGGCCAGTTATGAAAGAGACTGGAAAGTAGGAAGAGGACTTCAGTCAATATTTCAGGAAATGTCATGAGTGGTATTTCAACGTAGTGAGTTGGTCCCATCAGGACACCTCCCCTTTCCCCACAGATTACTTTGGAGTTATTTCTTCTTGCTGAATTGATAATACAGGTGCAAAGAAAAGTTGAGATGATCGTGGTTCTGTGATCCCTAGGATTATGTAGGAACAGCAGAATTTTGGTAATATTTCTGCTAGTTACAGCCATTTTTTTAAAATAAAGAGGTACCAGTTTTTATTTTATTTACTCATTAACATACATGACACATCAAAATGAGAAATGCACAATTAACCATTCAACAGTTTGTCTTAGTCCAAAAGAACACTATATTCATATCAAACATTTATGCAGTCTTTCCACCTAATTTTGCAATTCTAAACAATTTCTAGCTTTTCTCAGAGTCTAGTCTTTTGCTCTTTTTTTTTTTGTGAAAAAAAGTCCCATGACAACTGGAAGTGTAATTCTGGAGAGACACAATCTAAGAGAGGTCCCAGGCTACATCCTCAGCAATGGGCCAGCTAGATGGTTCAGTGGGCAAAGGTGTTTGTTACCAGCCTACTAACCTGAGGAGTCTGATCCCTTGGACCCACATGGTGGAGGGAGAGAATTGGCTCCCATGAGTTGTTTTCTGGCATCCACACACGGGTCATAGCATGTGTACCTTCTTGCTACATGTACTAAATTTAAAAAAATGCAAAAAAAAAATCCCACTACAATTCACAGCATCACAGTACTTCATAAAAGGAAAGCCATTTTAACATCAAGGATACAAAAAACCATCTAAGAATTAAGGAGAGCCCTTTGCACCAAATACATTCGGTTCTGTGAAAAAATGATATCCTAATGTTTGCCATTTAGGGAGATCAGTGAAAAATTTGTCCCCAGGCACCTGCTACAGTGAATGGATGGAGATCAAGATCAGTTTTCAGGAGTCGGTTCCAACCATGGATTCCAGGGATGGAAATTGCTTGCATAACAAACGCTTTTCCCCCTGAGCCATCTCACCCTTCTTCCGTTTCTCCCACGTTGTTGTGTGTTTTAACAGAGCGTGTGCTAATAAAATGAAAGTGGCTTGAGAGAAAGTTTGCTGCCTCCTCCCAACTCCAAACAGATACAAAGGATCTGCCAATCGACAGCTTTACAGAGGACCAGAGATGAAGGGAGTTCTTACCCATCTAAAAATTTATTTTTGTTAGAGTGGAAGAAGAAAGGTAGTATTTCTTATACTTAAGTGCTGGTAGTTTTGCATGCTTAGGTCTCTCAAAAACGCAGTGAAATTTATATAAACATTGACTGGTGTAGATTTTAGTCATCCGCAATGGCACAGAATGGCTAGCATGCACAAGAAGCAATTCTTTGCAGGCTGCTCAAAATGGAATACATTTCTTTTAGTTATTGCGTTGATTCTTTTAGCAGTGCTGTTTTTTTATGCTAATTAAAAAATCCTTTTGCTTTCTTAAAAGCTTGCTCCCAAGCTTGCGATCTTTCTTGCAGGCAGATCATGCTTTATGTTGGTGGATTCTTACAATTTCGGACTGGATCCTCTTTGAGGGGTAGCATTGAGCCGAGACCATTTTTGCAAGATGCTGGCAGGGACTGCATTCAAGGCGACTCAAAACGACGCTCGTTTGGGGGAGAGTTGCTTTGCTCCCGCACTTGCTACACGCATTTGGAGAAATCGCAGTGCTTGATTTTGGTTCTGGAATGGTGCGGAGGTGGGGGTAGTTAGCAGGTGTCTGGGAGTCTGGATGCAGAGTCCAGGGAGAGAAACTGGGGGCAGGTGTCTGGCCCTGGAGCGGCAGTGACTACTCTCTGCCGCATGGGAGCGCTCGTGCCTCCTCCTACCCCGCAACAGTCTCTCGGGCACCTCTGCCGCCACCTGCAGTCTCAACCAAACCTCGGGGAGGGCCTCGCGGGATGTGACGGCGTGGGCGCCCAATCGGCAGTCGGACTTTCGGGCACTCTGCGGCTGCAGCCAATGGGAGGTGAGGAGAGCCGCGGAGGGGGTGGGCCCCGCGGCAAGCCTGGCCGAGGCGCGAGGCCCTCCTCCCGCCTCTCCGCCTACTCCAGCCTCCGGCGCCTCAGCTTCCCGAGCGAGCCCTGCGGCCGCCGGAGCAGCTCCCGCGGCGGAGCCGGAGCCGGATGGTCAGAGGAGCCCGGCAGCCCCAGCAGCCGCGGAGTCGCCTGGCCCCCAGGTGGGGCGGGCTGGGGTGCGAGGCCCGGGCTGGTTTTTGTGCGGGCCGGGGGGCCGCCGAGCCTGAGGGGCGGGGGTGCGGGCGCAGCATCTTGGGGCGCCGAGGGGAGCGCGGCCGAGCAGCTGGGAGCAGGAGGCCGAGGAATGCGGGGGGCTGGGGCTGAGGGGCGGGGCGCGGCCGAGGGGAGCCTGGGGGGGCCCTGCGGCGCCGGGCAGACAATGAGGAGGCCAGCGGGGGCCCGTGCTGAATGGGGGCGCCGGGGCCAGCAGGCAGGGCCAGCGGGGACCAGGGCGTCCCAGCATCTCTTGGTCCTGAGAGGGACGGGAGGCGGGGTGAGGTGTTCTAAGGTCAGGTGTGGTGCCCCAAGGGGTCTGCGGAGTGCTGGACCAGTACCGTGGGGCCCGGGGTGCGTTCTTGGTGCCACTTTTAGTTACCAGCCTTAATTTGTTTGGTCTGTAGACTGACTGGCACAGTGGAGAAACCGCCTCGAAAACGGAAAAGCAGGTAAGGCAGATGCTTTCGGCTCTGGCTTCTTGTTTTTCTGCTTGCTTAGCTGCACCTGTGCAATACTATATAATTCATTGTACATGATCAGGGAGTGAAGTTTCTTACTTGGCCCCATTTTTAGTGAATGTGACTATATACGAGATTTTCCTTTTGAGGACTTCAGATGACTTCCCCTTCTGAGGTATATAATGTGGGAAACATGGAAAATTGAGAAGTACTGATTTTTGACTTTAGTCGTAGTTTTAACTTTTCTACCATTTCTGTAGAACTAATGTTTATCAAACAGCTACTGTGTGGCAAGTGTTGTGTGCAAGTGCTCTGTATGTATTATTTCCTGTAATCCTCGAGGCATAATTTTGTAGAAAAGGAAACTGAGTCAAGATAACACACTTAATAGATGATAGATCCAGGATTTGAATCCAGGCTGTCTGACTGCAGAGCTTACGCTTTTAACCAGGTTACTGTAATACTTCTAATAAATATACAGTTGAAAATAGTTTTTAATCTGATTCTTCTCATTTCACTGTATATAGAATCTAGAATTGAAATGGTTTAGTCTTCGGAAAATAGTAACAAAGGGCTTAAGTAAGCCACAGACATTTTTTTACATTAATTTATTGTGTATATTTCTATGTACATGTGAGTTATTCCTTGAATAATAAAGAATATTCATCCCACAATTTTGAGTCTGTTTCATGTGTCAGGTAGTCCTTTGAAGAGTCCTTTTTTGCATATGTTGTCATTGGCCTTGAGAAGGTAAGCTCCAGCTAGAACATGTAGCACTATTTTCACAGCTTAATACCTTGAAGTTACTTCTGTTTATGTGTAGAAATCCTCCAGGATAAGTAGATATAAAATGCTAGACATGAAAATGGCAGTCACCAAAGTACCTGGCCTCTACTCTTTCACTTATTCACTAGGCTGTGCAAGTTGATCATGTATTTTTCATGCTTAGGCGGCTTCTGTGTTTCCCCCTTGCTGTTGAACATGGTTCAGTCTTGGCCTAACTGTTTAGTAAAGGACTGCCTTTACTTCACATCTGCCTACCTTTCCAGCCACAGTTAATTCTATCTCATGGACATGTTATCTGGTGAGCCTGTCAAGACTAAGGAATTGCTAAATGTATCCTATCTTCTGTTTGCCATTTCCAGAACTTTTGTTCTCTGCTTTAGTTAAAAAATTTTTCGATTTATTTTTAAGTGCTTGCATGTGTGTTAGTGCACCACGAACATGCAATGCCCACAGTGGCCAGAAGAGGGCGTCGGAGCCCCTGTAACTCAGGCCATTGTTAGCCGCCACTGAACTTGGGACCTCTGGAAGAGCAGGCAGGAGCCAGTGCTCTTAAACACTGAGACATCTCTGCAGCCCCTGTTTTAATTTTTTTGTGCATGATTTTTCTTCCTTTCTGGAATGCTTTCACTTTGCTCTTCCCTTTAAAACTTAGTTCACATATCACATCCTCAATGAGGACTTCCTCCAGTCTCTCCTTCCTCTTCTGTACACTTTTGCTCCCATAATAGCCTGCACATACAACTTGCGTGTGATGGTTTTGGCTGAATTTGAATCCATCGCTGTCACTGAGTAAATTTCGAGATCATATGTTGTGTGGGTGAGTGGTACAGTAATGCAAGTGTTCACTGAATATTTCCGAGTCCATTCCATGTGTCAGCACAGCAATTATGTGTGTCATCTGAAGAGAACTGTTTTGCATATGTTGTCTTGCTTAACATGCTTGAGGCCTTGGGTCTGACCCTGCATACCAGAGTGGGGAAGGTGGGGATCCTTTCTTAGCCTCAGGAAACAAAAAAAGAGAGAAAAACAACAAAAAAACAGTTCTGCCCTACCAGAGTTGCAAAGTGCCCATTATGGTGCCTGGCACATAGAGGTTTTTGTACACAGCAAGTTTCAAGTAAAAAAACACCCATCCTTCAAACCAGTTGTATGCCTCTAATCGCATTAGCTGAGGAGACTGAAAAATGAAAAACAACAAACAAAAGAGAAACCCAAACATCCTTCAAGTGCCTTTTATTTCTGACTCTCCCCCCCCCCTTCTTTTTAAGACATGCTTAGTTGAGAGGCTAACAAATCAGTTAAGGAAAAGAAGAAATGAGAGAAAAAGAATACAATTAAACCAGTAACTGGTTTGTCTCTGCATTTCCTGGCAGTGATTGTAGACCAGGTTGGTCTCCATCTTAGAGATTGGCCTGCCTCTGCCTCCCAAGTGCTGGGACTAGAGGGCAAGCACCACCAAGCCCAGCTCCCATAGATTTTTTTTTTTTTTTTTTTTTAAATTATTTTATGTGTGTGAGTATATTGCCTGCACGTATGTGAGTGCACCCGTATCATGCAAGGCTGTAGAGGTCAGAAGAGGGCTTCGGATTCCCTTGGAGTTAAGGACGGTTTGTAGCCGTCATGTGGGTGCTGGGAATCGAACCTGGGTATTCTGCAAGAGTAGTCAATGCTCTTAACCGCTGAGCCATCTCTCCAGCGCATAGCTTGTTTTTAGCCAGAAGACCATTTAGCCAGAAGATGCATTTTCTCACTAGCTTACATACTGGAACATTGGCTTTGATGGGGGAAAAAGTCAATGATAAATGTAAAATTTTTCTGTCTCTTCTTTTGGTAGTTCTAGGGACTAAACCCAACACCTTGTACATAACTAGGTCAATGCTATTTGACTGAACTCCTAGTATGTTTTCTGAGCCAGGGTCTTACAGATTCTAGGCTGGCCTTCTAGGCTGATTAAGACCTTGACTTCTGGCCCTCAGGCCTCTACCTTCCAAGTCCTGGGATTCCAGGCATGTAGCACCACTCTAAGACTATATGATATGGCAGCTTGAACCAAGGCTTCATCTATGCCAGGCATGCACTCTACCAGCTGAAGGGTGTCTCAGCTCTCCATAATGAGTTTTTAAAAGATTGCTTCTTAGAATACTTCACAGTCTAAGTTGAATAGTCTCCAAAAGCACTTTCTTCCCTATTGTTTTTAATTTGAAATTTATTTCCTTGTCTTAGTTCAATCTGTTAGTAGTGATGTTTAGGTTATAAGATAGAGATTTCTTTCAGGTCATGTTTGGAGCAAGACCGATTTGCATGAATAGAATTCACATTGATTAAATCTAATCTGGTGTGCAAGGTTCTGGCTTCAATCCCCAGTACCAAAAAAAGAAAAGCCTTATCTGTGTAATTTAAAGACTTTTATTTATCTATTTATTTAAATCTAAGGGAACCAAGTATTTTGGTGGTATTACAAGTTGTTTGTTTTGTTTTGTTTTGAGACAGGGTCTCTCTATAGCCCCAGCTGGCCTGGAACTTGCTGTGTAGGCCAGGTTGGCCTCTATTTCACAGAGTTCCTCCTTTCTCTGCCTCCCAAGTGATACATGTAATTTTTTTTTTTTTCTTTTTTTTTTTTTGGTCTTTTTGAGACAGGGTCTCCCTGTAGCCCCAGCTGTCCTGGAACTCGCTATGTAGACCAGGCTGGCCTTGAACTCACAGAGATACCCCTGCCTCTGCCCCCCTAAAGGCGTGTGCCACCACACCCGGCGTGATATGTGTAATTTTTAAAGAATTTATTTATTGCCAGGCATGGTGGTACACACCTTTAGTCCAGCACTTGGGAGGTAGAGGCAGGCAGATCTCTGTGAATTCGAGGCCAGCGTGGTCTACATAATGAGTTCCAGGCCACCTGGGGGTATAGGGAGACCCTGTTTCAAAAAGATAGACAAAAAAAAAAAAAGAGAATTTATTTAGGGCCAGATGTGGTGATGCATTGCCTTAATCTCAGCACTCAGAGGCACAGGCAAGTGAATCTCTGTAAATTTGAGGTGAGACTGGTCTATATAGTGAGTTTGAGGCCAACAGGGCTCTATAGTTAAGACCCTGTCTCAAAAAAAAAAAATTTTTTTTGTGTGTGTACTATAGTTTGTATGTGGAGGTCAAAGGAAAACTTGAGGGTGTTGGTTCTTTCTGCCATGTGGGTCCTGAGACTTGAACTCTGGTTAGTAGGATTGGTGACTTTACCCATTGAGCCATCTTGAAGGCCCAAAAGATGCTCCTATTACCTCAACTTCCTAGAATATCCTGAACCTTTTTTTTTTTTTAAAGTTTTTTTTTTTAATTATCTGTGTGTGTGTGTGTGTGTGTGTGTGTGTGTGTGTGTGTATACACACATCTGTGTGGGTGCCAGAAGAGGGCATTAGATCCGCAGAGCAGTGAGCTACCATGTGGATGCTGGGAACTGAACTCTGGTCCTCTAGTAGAGCAACAAGTGTTGGTATATATAATTTGTTTAAGAGACGTTGGAATGAGGGCCAGGCATGATGGTGTATGTCTTTAATCTCAGTGCTCAAGAGGCAGAGGCTGGAGGATCTTTGTGAGTTGGAGGCCAGCCTGGGCTACATAGTGAGTACAGGTCAGCCAGGGCTACATAGTGAGACCCTGCCTGAAACAACACTGACAACAAAAACCCCAAACAAAACATAAGACACATTGGAATGTTTTCTAATTCTGGGTTCTTGGGGTGTAGACATAAGTGAGATATGGGCATGCTTGGAATAACTCATGTATGAGACAGTGAGATGACTTTGTTTCTATACAAAGGTTTATGTGGCATATACATAGCATCTGTAGAAATTATGCTTATTGGCATTGAGAACAGTTGCCACAGACATTCCTATGCTCTGAAGGTTTGGAAGGTTAATTTTGGTGATAGTGTGACTATTGAAATGACAGAGATGAGCTTAGATGAAAGCAGTAGTTCTCAGCTGTTAATGGTTTGGATATAAAATGTCCCTAAAAGGCTCACATGAAGGCGTGGTCTCCAGTGCAGCAGTGTTGAGTAGAGGGACTTTGAGGAAGTGATTAAGCCATGTGGCCTCCGACTTCATCAACGGATTAATCTATCTGTAGACTCATAGTTTGATGGGCTATTTGCAGCTGATGGAAACAAATGGAGTGTGGCCTAGTTGAAAGGAATGGGTCTTTGTGGGGGTTCTTAG